ATTATCAGGGATACCATTTATGCGCAGCATGGCACTGTTAATACTCTGATATTTTATAGCTGTTGATGGAATCAGTCTCTCTGAGAGCTACCACAGAGTTCGGGAAAACTTAATACCACCCAGCCTTAAAACTATTAGACTGAGTTTTAAAGCTGTACCCTCGTTAGGAGATAACAGGAAAAGTTGCACTGCCACTATCAAAACACAATCAAAAACTTATGGATAGAATCATAAAGATCCAGCGTTTATCATCCTAGGCAGGAAACATTGTAACGCAGGTTTACATCTACGCCAGCCTAATAGATTAAGAAGAGGTTTGAGGTTGGTCAGCAGAATTAATCCTCTTATCTCTTAAGTCTTTGCCCAGAAAGCCTTCTGCAAGACAGTATAGCTGGATGCAGTTAACATCTGTCAAAGATGAGTATTTTTATGAAGACACCATCTCTAACCTTAATTCAACTAAGAACCCCAAGGCAATTTTAGCCAGAGGTTCAGACAAAACACAAACATACATAAAGTAACTTAAGGGTGATTAAACACCGCGCTAGAGGTTTAGACGAAACACAAACATACATACAGAGGCGATTCTACGAATAAACATAAGAAATATCAACCATTTACATAAGAAGTTATTATGATTAATATGATTGTAATAGCAGCCGTGGCGCAGTGGTAGTTCAGTTGCCTCAGAAACAAAGGATCCGTGGTTCTCTAGGAAAGTTTTGCGACACCGATTTGGAAAGAGGCGTGAACTACCGATTAAATGCTCATCCGCGGTGCTCTGTGATAAGACTGAAAGGACTTCTTAGGGCACTAAAAAAAAAAATTAAAAAAGATACATATATATATAAATAAAAAATATAAGTTATTTTTCTAACGAATCAACATAATTTAAAAAACATTGTTATACAAATAGAGATATATCAAAATATAATAAATAGAAATGTATCAAATAGTTTGTTTTGGCTTGAAGATTTAAATTAAAAATTTAAATTAAATTAATTTTTACGCGTCTAATCAAACGTAACGAGCTTAAACGTGTGTTCAAGCATTGTACGCGTCAAAGCTGCGGATGAAATATATATTTTTTAACAAATTAAAATTCTTTGACCCAAAAAACTATTACTTCAACATATAACATATTTATTTACAATGTTTGTCAAATTTTGTTGAGTTTTTGCCGTTTTTTTATCATTCTTTTTTTTTTTTTTTTTTTTTTTTTCTTTTTCAATTTTACATTTGTTGGTCGTATTACAACTATATATTGCCAAAAAAAAATAATGATAATAATAATAAACTTTCACAAATATAAAATAAGGTATCTGAAAGAAGAACAAAGGATCTTGTCGTCAGAACCTTAAACAAGTTCAAACAAGCATTAACAGTATCAAATTTTTACAAATTTCATATATATATAATCCAAATATATATTATATAATCCAAAGAGAGATCACGCGGATCTACTCACCAATATTTTATATAAACATATACTTTAAGTAAAGAATATAAAATCAACAAAATAAGTAAGAATAAATTTTTTACAAATATAAATAAGAAAAGGCAAAGTTATTAATTTATATTATTAATAATAACATAATACGTTTTCTAATGAAAAAATTAGGGTTTTTAATTTACTTTTAAAAAAACGATAAGTAATGGGTAGTTCGAAGTCAAAATTGGACAAAACAATTTTATTCCAAAGGTGTGGTGCACGATAGGCAATACAAAATTGATTAAAGTTCGTTAGACAGAAAGGTTCATTTAAAAAATCAGTATTTCTCAAATTGTATTTGTTGATGGGTTTCGGAGTAAAAATATCTTTGAAGACAGATTAAGACAAGTCATTTTTCCACATGTATACAAAGCATAAAACATATATATTTAGCTCGTATATATTTAAAATTCTCATTTCAATAAAATGTTTTGCGTGAGAAAAGCGATTTGCAAAGTAGATTAAACGGATAGCATGTTTCTGACGGCGATAAAGACGTTGCAACTTTTTTCTGTACTACCCCAGGCGATATTAGCATAATTTAAATAACTGTGTATAAATGAATAATAAAGTTTGATTAAAATTTTCTTATTGAGGTAGATTCGTGCTTTATATAAAACTCCTATGTTTTTTGAAATTTTAGTGCTTATGTAGTCGATATGATGATTCCAAGTGATGTTTTCATCAAGATAAACACCTAAATATTTGTTACGGAATCCCTTTTTATTTCATTTTGATCAATAAAAATTTTAGGTAAGTTTAATGGCCAATACCGTTTTTTGGAAAGCGAATGGAATAAGGTCCACTTTGTTTTATTAGAATTTAGAGTTATTCTGAGCCCTAATGGAAAAAAAAGTTGCTAGACGGAAATAAAAAGTACAAATTGCTAGTAACGGCACAACTTTTTATTATGTCAATTTCACCATAAAATATGGGAATTTACAATAATAAATTATAAACTCACATAAATAAGGTTAGGTGTCGCTCGAATAGTTAAAAACTAGTCAATGGAGTGACACCTTACAAAAAAAAGTAAATAAAACATTTCGAAGAATTAAAAATAAAAGAAAACAAAAAATAAAAAATAAACAAAGAAAACTAACATAAAAACAAAACAGAAAAAAATAAAAAAATAAAAATAAATAAAAAACGAAAAGAAAAGAAAGCACTAATAAATAATGATAAGATTTTCCTTGATTTTAGGTGCCTCAAGAAGTCCTTATGGTCTTATGACAGAACATCGCGGAAGAGTATTAGAAAGGAACGCATTCTTCCTTACGATGTTAAAGACTTACCCAGAAGTGGCATTGAACCACAGATCTCTGGCTTCGGAGACAAGTGCGCTAACCAATGTGCTATGGCTGCTTTAATTATATGCTTAATAATAGCAATAACAATAAAAATAATTATAATATGAAAAACATTACAAATAATAGTGATAATATGATAACTATAACAAAAATTATAACTAATGATAAAAACAATGGTAAAAATAATTATAGTAAACTTTATAACTATAACAGTAATTATAAAAAAAAACACATAGTTATAAAAAAACTTATAACAATAACTATAAAACTATTATTACAATGGAATCGCTGTTAATAATAATATTAATAAGGCATCTAAAACAAAAATGTTTTAGCGATTATATTAATTAAATTAAAAATAATAATAGTTTTATTAATACAACAATATATTAAAACCAATAATAATAAAAAATAAAATTAATACTTATTAGATATTTACTCAAATAAAAATTTCTTAATTTAGTTTCGATTGAGAAGAAGGGTGTTGGTAATAAAAGGGTATTTAGTTAGAGTCATTATTTCATAAATATTATTAACTGGTTCCAGTGAGAAATACATTTGACAGTATTAAAAAGGGGAGTTTAGAAATAATATCAGTCACTGAAAAAAGAAAAAAAAATTTGTTCAATGTAATTAGGATTTACTTTTCAATGTAATTAGGATTAATCGTCGATTTATAAATAAAAACTCAAAAAAAAAAAAAAAAAAAAAAAAAAAGTGAAGATCGGCCTTAAAAATTAGAAAATAATTTAACCACTAAATAAAAAACAAAAAACCTTCAGCGTAAACAGGCTTTAAAAATCGCTGACCTAGTAAATCTCGATTTTTCGAATGTGAGTTTTTTTTATTTCTTACAAAAGTATAAAACCTGTATCAACATATTAAATCCTATTAAAATTATGATAAAACAGCTGTTTAAAAATGAAAAAAAATTCTTAGCACCCCCCCCCCCCCACCTTGTATAAAGGACTCGAGAGTACGAGGCTTTGATTATAGGCCGACGATAAATATTTTTTTTTGTTGGCGATTTAAAGTTGTAAGCCATTATCCAATAAAAATAGGATTTGAGAAAAAGTTCTTTTATTAAAACCCGCGTTTATTAAATCACTTTAGTTAATAAAATTCATTTTAGTCCAGATTTTCTTCCACTTAAAATTGAGAACACAAGAATACACGAAGTCGGAGTTAGGGCGGGATAATTATAATTAGGGTGAGCGGTAAACGAACGTCAAGGTTAATAATAGTGTATATAATTGGGACAAGCAGTATGGTTAATTATAATTAAGGCACGCGGTAAATTTATTTGGCACCAAAAGAGTAGTTTTAAATAGCTTCAAAATAACTTTTTCGAAACATATAAGTACTAATATTTTTTCTAAGGCCAATTTCAAAGGACCTTGCAATGGATTTTTGAAAATTAGTAAACGACAAAAATGAGCTAAAATATCATTAAGCATTGTAAATTTAATAAACTATTAATTAAATTTGTAAATGACTGTATTAAATACTATATATGTACTCTCGAGTCCTTTATAAAAAAAAAATTAAAAACAAAAAAAAACAAAGGGGACGTTTATTAATTTTTACTTTTAAATTGGCCTTAAAAATTAGAAAATAACTTTTTCAGTCACTGATAAAAACAAAAACTTTCAGTGTAAACAGGCGTTAAAAAGCAAGACATCAGTCTCGATTTGCCGAAAATGAGCTTTTGGTTTATTTCTCTGCAAAATATAAAACTTATATCAGCATATTAAATCCTATTGAAATTATGATAAAACAGATGTTTGATACACAAGCTACACTAGAATTAAATTGTTTTAAGTGTGTTTTGTAAAAAATATTAGTTTATATTTATAAACTCAACTTTTTTATAAAAAATACTTATATTGTAATATAAAAAAATTCCTTCCCTCCTTGTATCCTTACTCTCGTGTCCTTGTAAGGACTCGAGAGTAAGGATATGGATTAATAAAGAGAAAAATCACAATTTTGTGCATAAAAATTATAATATTCAATAAATTGTATATTTTAAACTTATTTTAAATTTATGAAAAAGATAAATAAAAAAATCTTTGTTTCTATTAAATAATAAGTCTGCAACTAAATTTCTTTTCATGATCAGTGAAGCAACACAGAAACAAATAGATAATGAGAGTTAGATGTTAAGGATGACTTAATGTAAAATTCTTAAAAGGATATTAAACAAATATAATTTTTCATTTAAAATTATTACCACATGTTTAAAATATTTACATCTCCATTTGTATTTCATTTTCTTCATCACTAGCTAAATCTTCTTCCTGTAAAGTATCTACTGGGTCTAATTCTTCTAAAGGACAATCTTCTAGCATTTCTAGAATGTGATTTTTTATATCTGTATCTTCTTCTGTACCAGTTTTTGTTATAAGTTCTAATGCTTTTTCCAAGTAAAATCGAGGATTGTCACCATCTTTAAGCAAAAATTTAGACAAACCTATGTAATACCAAATTCTTAAATCATCTTCATTTTCTTCAACAAGCTGATCAGTAATATTTGAAACACTTTCATATGAAGCAACTTCAATCAATAATTTAATAAGCGAAATTCTTGATTCATAAGAAATTGTGTCTGGTATATTCTCATATCCTTCTTCAGATAGTTTTTTCCAAAGTGTATAAGCACTTTTTATATAACTTTCGGCTTCAACTATATTTTCCTTGCTCAGAAGAAAATTACTCATAGCTAATAAAGCATCTATATTGCCACTATCACATTCTATTGCTAGTTTGCAATACCCTTCACACAAAGTCTCTGCATCACTTTCCAAGCAACAGTCAGTCATGTATATTTCAGCTAAAGAACAGTACACACTTGATAAATCTTTATTTGTAATTATATTATTAGAGGCATTATTTTTTTGGTTTTCTATCTCTGATTTCATTATTAGAATGGCTTTCTTATAGTTTTCAACAGCCTCATTACCTTCACTCAGTTGACCCAGATATAGATATTTGACATGCCCATTTAAAGGATCTAACTCCACAGCTTTAGAAAAATGAGTTTTTGCATTATCAAGATCACCAAGTTCTGCGCATATGTTTCCAAATGTTACTAAAGCAGATATATTTTGTGGTTCTAAATCTAAAGCTTTTTTGCAAAACTTTTCAGCTAATTCAAATTCAAAACTTTCAATATATTCATTAACACGATTGAGTAAATCATCAACAGAATAATGTTGTTTTGAACCAGTGTTTTGAGGTTTACTTCCAACACCAGCTTTTTGATCGTTTATAATTTTCTTTCGTTTACCCATACTTCATGTATCGAATTAACCTATATTTTACACATATTAACAAATGTTAGGTTCCTGTGATATCATATTATTGTAATACATTTTATATTTAACAGAGATTTTACAATTGACGAACAAAAATAAACTTTTTTTGCATATAGAATATTTATAAACATTCTTTAGTTGATAAAATATAAAACTTAATTGAATTAAAGAGCAAAATACGGTCATACGTATATTTAGTTTATTTAATAAAGAATTTATCTGTTTAAGTACCTTTAGAATAAGTAACGAATTGAATGAGCATGTGTTGACCTTCATGCGGACCAAGCAGAACTTAAAACATGGCTATTATGCTAAAGCTTAGAACTTAAACTAAAATTCTACCACGCTATCAAACTTAAAATTCAAAACTTATTTTGGCTTAACATCTAACTTAGCTAGAGTTAGCGTTTGCGAATCAGCAATTAGCGATTCACGTGTGAGGATTGAAGTCAAACTAGCGTCCTTTCACTTCAGCGTTGTGTGGTTTGACTGTTTTAGACAATCTTGTTCTGCTTTTCATTAACCTGAATTATTATAAATAAGATGGCTGATAAAGATAGTGGTGACGAAGAGGAATTAACAATTGCAGACGATGTTGTTGTTACCAAATACAAAATGGCTGGTGATATTACCAATGGTAAAGATAGATTTTTTTAAAAAAAAATTTAAGTTAAAACATGTACCTTCATATAAGCATGATTAATACCAATTAAAGGTTCTTTAAAGATATTTATTTGGTAAATACTTAGTTGTTATCATTGTAGAATAAGTAATTGTTAATTACTTTAAAATTTGTATTTGCTTCAAAAGCAGATGTATATAAGGAGTACAATTTGCTAAAATCGAAGTAAGACCTGACGTGCCTTTTAGAAGACACGTCATCTCTTACTTCGAAGAAGTAAGTCCTCAAAAAATAAGTCTAATGCAAAACAAGTATCATAGGGTTCATGGCACTTAAGGAAAACCAGAGAAAAGTTTTAAAATTTAGAAAATCAAGAAATACCTGGAAAAGTCAGGGAATAACTTTTAAAAATCTTTAAAATCAGGTCAAACTCAAGGAATTGTTTTTAGTTTTATATTTAGCTTGAAGTTATTTTGCAATAGATAAATTTTGAGTCTTTATTTTTGTTGAAAGCTGCTCACTAGAACAGTTTTTTTAACTTTTATAATATTTAGCAACTATAAATTATAAATCTTACAATATCTTTCTTTTATTAGCAAGGTTTTAGAGTGTTTGATCAACAAATATTACCATCCTATCTTGAATCAAATAGTTTACTGTCAGACAATACCGTTTTTGATCTTCTCACTCTACTGTTAAATTCCTTACTGTTGTGGTTAAAAGATTTTATTGCGCATTAGTACAAGGTGGTGAGGCTAGGGTTATTGCTCTTGACACATCTAAAGCTTTTGAAAAAGTTTGACATGCTGGGTGCTCCATAAGCTTGCTTCATATGATGTATCTGAAAAAGTTTTATTTGAGATTATCAAATCACATTTTTCTAACTGTTTTACCCTCAAAGGCTAACACTCTTCTTTATTTTCAGTAACCTCTGGGATACCCTAAGGTTCTGTTTTTGGTCCTGTTTTGTTTCTTATCTAGTTTAATGATCTTCCTGATAACCTTACATATAAAGTGGTTCTATTTGCTGACAGCTCAACTTTATACTCTTGTCTTTGCAAAAAGTCTTCTCTTTTCAATTGCATAGAACCAAGGATGTGGAGTCCCAAAAAGGACTCCAGATTTGAAAGTCACAAAAAGTTAACTTCTTCCTAGTTTTTGTATCCAAGAGCTTTAAAAATATAAAAAAGCATATAGACTACTAATGGGGAAAAAATCAAGATTTTCAGCTCAGAGGAGCAATCAATTTTTGAACCCCGAGTCTTAAGGCATAATGGCGGCAAGGACTCCACAACTCCAGGCTTTTTTAAAAACAATAAGTTCCAAGTCATTAAATTTTTTTTTTTTCCTAAAAGCAGATCATTAATCAACAAACATCTTGTTTTAAATAAAAAGTGCTTAAAATAATAACCTAATGTGAATTTGACATCATAAATTCTCTTTATTTTTTTTAAAGGCATTAACTTTTTTAAATAACTGCAATAATATTAATTACCACCAAACGAGTTTTACCACTATATTAATTACCACCACATATTAATTACCACCAAATGAGTATTATATAACTTCTTTTTTATTATTACTATAAAGGAATGTTTATTTTCTATTATTATTATTTTTTTGATATTAAAAAAATAATAAATTTAATTAAATTTTTGAATTTTTAAATAATTATTTCTTAAATTTCTAATTGCGGCTAACCAATAAAATAATTACGTTAATTTATTTACTTTATTAGTTAACTATTTTGTTAACAATTTTGTTGTGAAAGCAAAGACTATTTTTCCAAACATTTGTTAAAATTATATGGCTGTATACACCATTTATTAAAAAATAATGGTTGCAATTTAACTTGGATTATAAAAAAATTTAACTTTGTTTGCTTTAATTTTTGATGCAGCTGGTTCTTTAAAATTTAATTTTGAGTAAAAAAGAAAATTGTTTAGGAAGGAAAACCGAATAAACAATTGCGATTAAGATAAGCTAATTTTTTATTTAAGGAATAAATAAAATTTAAATAATTAACAATATTTAGTAATATTTTGTTAATAAATTTGACAGTTATGTTAAACCCAAGCATTAACTTTAATTTTAATAAACTTTAATATATTTTTAAAATCAAAGTTAAATTATATATATTTTTTTAAATATAAATTTAGTCATGTGTTTTATAAGAATTAAATTATATTATTATGATCTTTGCTTTAAGCTTTAAATAGTGTTTCTAAAAAAAAATCAATCAAAACTATAAAATAAAAATATTTTAATTTTATGTGAGTTTTTTCAGTAATAAATAGCACTTATATCTAAGATAATTGTCATTTAAACTTTTATAACAAATATTTTTACATAATCGTCATTCAAAAGTTAAAAAATGATAAAAAGTTGCTTTACTAAAATTGCTTACTGCCTAATGTAAAATCACTTAAAGCATACGTAAATAGCTCTATGAGAAACGCTTTAAAACAAGGCTTGCAACATGTTTAGAGGTTCTGGACACCAGAGGCCATGAAAAAATAAAGGTATATAGCCGGAGTCTTTTTGGAACTCCGCATCTCTGCATAGAACAGCAGCTTATCTGGAATCTGGTCTCACTTCTGTAGCAAATTGAGGCTCAAAGTGGTTTTTTAATTTTTCTCCAACTAAACTCAGTTATTTACTGCCAAGAACCATCACAATACTGTTGAAATTCCTAAATTGATGAATAGCAACCTTCTCACTGAGTCCTCTTTACATCTTCTTGGATTGTCATTTACTACTGACCTCTCATGGAAATCATATTGGTAAGTTAGCTAGTTGTGCCTGCTCTATCTGCATAGCTTATGCCTTTCTCCCAATTTCTTAAAGTTGCATCTATTTTCTTCTAGAAATACTATCACCACTCAAAAGGGTTATCATCTGTAGCCCATCAACCAAAACTCATTCTCGCTTGTATTTTTAATTCTTGCTTATACTTAACTGTATCTATCCCTGCATGCTTTAAAAACTTTTATTCGTCTATTCCCCCCTCCCCTCTCTCTCTCTCTTTATTCATATTTTAAAGTAAAGTTACTTTAAATTCACATTTTAAAGTAAAGTTAGTTTAAAATCTTCATGAGACAAGTTGTGTTCTTATTAAAGAAAATGTTAAAAAAAAAAACATTTGGGCTAAATTTTATTAAAACTATTTAATGAATGCACACCATTAAATTTAAAATTCACGTTTTAGTCAAAGCTCGTCGTCTCCAATTTTTCGGTTCTTAGAGTCTGTATGTTAGCCGCAATCTACAGACTTGATCATTTATTTTATGTGTGTTTAATTCATAACAGTTTAAGTATATGACATCAACGTATAAATTTTTTCTTTCAAGATGTCATTATTTTTTGTCGTAGTCTCCAAATCATACTAATTGTATAAATTTTTACTAAATCCCAATTAAAAGTTTACTATGCAATTAAAAATTAAATTTATGAAATTTATAAAAATAAAAATTGAATATATATCGAATATTTACATTAAAACGTACTAAACTAAATATAAAACTAAATATAAACTAGATACTAAAAGGTTTAAACTAAATATAAACTAGATACTAAAAGGATAATTTTACTTAAGCGTATAAATTAATTTAAAATATAAACTAAATAAAAAATGAGTGACTTGGATAAAACATATAAACAGAACTAAGTAGAAAATAAGTATTAAAGGAATTATTTTACTAATAACCGTACAAATCAAGCTAAATTAAAGTTAAAACAAATATTTGTACTAAAATATACAAAAAATAGTTATAATATAAATATAAAAACGAAAAATTGCATTAACTTGTTCGCTACCAGACAATACTTTTTTGTAGCAACAAAATTTTTGAATAACATTTGAATAGCATAACATTGACAATTAATTAAAATTCTATAATAATAAAGGCTTTAACACGCATCATTAAACAATAAGAAATGCAAAGTGCTTAAAACCATTGTTTTTATAAGTAGTAACTAAAACATAAAGTCCGAAACAAACCTTGTTTGATGAATAAAAAGAATATTTTTTTCTACAAAATACTTTGTTAATTACTTAACTAAATACTTAACACCTCTAAAAGTTAAGTTTTACAGTGTTAGTGCTGTTTTATTTTATAACTAAATTTAAAGAAGTTTTTTTTATGAAGGATTATTCAAGATTTTTAATGTTATGATAACTTTTTTATAATTACATAATGTAGCTCTTAATTTTTCTTGATTGTGTATAGAATTAATTAAACCTTTAGAACAAACAAATTTTATGTGTCTGAAATTGAAATTTTTGTGCAAAACTAGATAACTTGTAAAGCATAATCTAAAGCCGCTATCAGAGGCTTGCGGTAGTGAAAGAGTTAAACCATAACTAAATGTAAATTAAACAAAACAAACAACTCTATTAAATCATATAAACTAAATATAAAAACAAGAAACCGCATCATACTGCCTTTATTTTTTCTCTGCCTGCGAACTCTAATAATCACAAAATATGTATAATTGTGTTATGATTTTAGGTGGCTTCTATAACAAAGTAATAATAAAGCAACTAAAAAAAAAAATTATAATTATAAATTTATATATATATATATATATATATATATATATATATATATATATATATACATACATACATACATACATACATACATACATACATACATACATACATACATACATACATACATATATTTGTATAATTTTTTACTAAATCACAAATATTTTTTGTGATTAAGTAAAAAATTATACAAATATTTGATTTTCTGATTGTAGTAGAGAAAATACCAATATCTTTAAAAAAACAACAGCAAAAATAAATATTAAAAATTTATACGATGGTGTCATATACCGAAACTGTTATGAATTAACACACATGGAATAAATTATTAAGTCTGCAGATTGCGGCTAACATTATACAGACCTCGAGAACCAAAAAAATGGAGAAGGCGAGCGTGGACTAAAGCAATAATTTTAATTTTGTTGGTATGCATTCATTATTTAGTTTCAATCAAAAAAATTTA